ATAACTTAAACTTTTTTTAATCCTCACATGCTACTTCTTTTAACTTATGTGCTTATTTTTTCAAGTGTTCATTAAAAATAATTTAGAAAATCTATACCAAGACAATGAAAAGAGGAAGATTCAGATCATTGCATCAGCTCCAAAAGTTCCAGAGATATAACTGTAAGATAAACGCATAAGTTAAAAGCCTAATATAAACACTAAAGTTCAGCTCCAAAATTTCCAGAAAATTTTCATCAAAACCACAAGATATTTTATTGTAGTTTTGATGAAAAGTTATATATTATTTTATATTTAAATATTTTAATGTTCAAATCTTTTATTGTTCAACATTACTGCTGACGTTAAAATCTTGAAGATTGTGTCTGGAACAATTTTTGTGCATCAAAATATCATTCTTATACTGTGATAAGAATGATATTTTGATGCACAAAATATCATTCTTATCTCCAAATAGCAAAGAAAATGAAGCCTGGCAGACAGATGCTACACTCAAAATATTTGGGATTATGAAAAAGCACAAATAGGATTTATGACCTCTATGCGGCAACTCCTTTGCTTTTTTATGAAGATAGTCCTCATGATAGCTTGGTGATCCTTAAGAATCCACCACCGGCTCTTTATCTAAATTTGTTCCTAAATCATGTCCTTAAAGAGTTACAAAACATTTGGCCAGGATTGGTTAGCAGGATATTCTATTCTCTTCGAATTATACCATGCTGACACACTTAAAAGTAATGAATGTTCTAAGGTTCTAAGACTCTATGATAGATTGGAGTAAGTACTTCCTAAAGAGCTGTCTGGTTTTTTGGATTACTACTTTGGATTATTTGTAGAACTTTTTATAGGTCATTGAATCTACATTTAATGTGTCTGTAGATCCTGATTATAAGAATGATTTTAAAAAATCTAAATAGGTCTTGTAAGCCTTTACAGTATTTGTAGAGTTTGGAGTATCTGAAAGTATCATAGCAGGAAGGGGACTTGGTCAGTTTTGGCAGGTACTTGTCAGGTACTCTAAAGCTATCCTAATCAGTCAGTCTTGGCAGGTACTCTAAAGCTATCCTAATCATTAATTCTAATAATATTTAGAAATTCTATGTGTTTTCAATTGTTATATCTATTTAAATTGAACGTAACTGTAAACTATATTTTTCATTACTTTAAAAAAAGGCTTTTTATTGCTTTTTTATTTTTGCGGGTTTTAAAGGGCCATTTCTAAAAATTCTGCAAACAAATATTTTTCATTAAAAAAAAGTTTTTTTGACAAATATATATATATATATATATATATATATATATATATATATATATATATATATATATATTTATATATGTAAAATATTTTTAATAATATCTATTTCTATCTATCTATCTATCTATCTATCTATATATATATATATATATATATATATATATATATATATATATATATATATATATATATATATATATATATATATATATATATATATATATATATGTATATATATATATATATATATATATATATATATATATATATATATATATATATATATATATATATATATATATATATATATATATATATATATATATATATATATATGTAAACAATATGCCCAGGTTTTTGATTTAGTTTTGTTTTAATGTAATAATTAAATGTAATATTAAATATAAATCAATTTCAATGTTTTTATTAAGTAGTAAAAGGCATTTAAAAAATTTTAAAAGGCTAAAAATTTTAATTATATTTAATAATATAATAATAGTATTAATAATTAATAATGTTATAATAATATTATAATAATAATATTTAATAATATAATAGCAATACTGTTTAATTATAGAAAAAAGTCAATATTGATAAATTACCAACATTTTAACAACAGTAAGTGATAAAAAAAAGTCAAAAGATAAATTTGAACTATATGTTGCTAAAGTTATTCATTATGATCTTTTTTGCTGTTCTTATCTTATTTCCATGTCTATAATTTAATAAAGATTGTGGTTTATACCTAGTTCCAACCAAATGCGTACATATATATATTTATATATATATATATATATATATATATATATATATATATATATATATATATATATATATATATATATATATATATATATTTATATATATATATATATATATAAATATATGCATATATATATATATATACATATATATGCCAAAATATATATATATATATGCATATATGTATACATATATATGCCGTTATATATATATATATATATATATATATGCATATATATATATGCATATATATATATATATATATATATATATATATATATATATATATATATATATATATATATATATATATATATATATATATATATATATATATATATATATATATGTAAAACATAAAAAATTTATATTTAATTAATAATTATTTAATTAATATATATAACTATTTAACTAATAATATATTTAAATATATATATAATTATTTAATGAATAATATATTTAACTAATAATATATATTAAAAAAATATATATTTATGTAAAACATAAAAATATTTTTTGGGTATTTTCATAGGGGTTTAGTTTCATCCAGCACACAATGTTTTTTTTTTTTTTTTTTTTTTTTTTTTTTTTTTTTTTTTTTAACATCTTCACTTCCAACAAGGCTGCAAGCAACCACTATAAGAGTTGGAAGTTACTGGAAGAGAAAAGACTAAATCTGTAGAGCAAGATAATGATTGACTGATGACTTAAAAGATTGCAAATTATATGAATCAGGAAAGCAAGATGAAGGAAGCGAATTCCAAAGAACTGATGTTCGAGGAAAAAAACTAGAAGAATAAGAGTTTTTGAAGCACTTAGGAACAGTCACAGAAAAAGGATGAAACTTAATTGAATGGCGAGTAACACAAGAATGAATTTTAGTAGATGGCACACGGGACACTAGCTCTTTAGAGCAGTGCCCATTATAGTATTTGTAGAAAAGAGAAAGAGAAGCAACATTACGACGATGTGACAAAGGTTGGAGATTGGCTGCCAGAGCAGGTCCAACTATGTTTACAATTCGTTTTTGCACCTTGTCTAAAAGAGAAAGAGCATCATTAGAAGATCCGCCCCAGATGTGGCAACAGTATTCCATACAGGGACGGATTTGAGATTTATAGAGATAGAGAATAGAATCTGGAGTAAGAAAGTGAAGAGCTCGATAAAGAGATGCAACCTTAGCAGATGCTAATTTTGCAATGGATTTGATATACGGTTTAAAAGAAAGATCAGAAGTAAGAGTTAATCTTAGAAGATGAATGGTAGATGAGACACAATGGTTTATTTCTGTATAACATTCTGTATAACAACAGGTAGACACAATGGTTTATTTCCGTATAACATCCAACAGCTCAGATTAAAAATATTTTCACAGTAACTGTTTATCTATTGAATCAGGAGAGGTTTTAGGTATAGCCTCTAAAAGTTTAGTGTCTCCTGGAAATATTCATCATACTTAGTAGCTCACTAGAGCAAACTGTTCTAGGCTTATTAGCTCTACAGTAATGGAAACAATAAACTTGTTGACTTGATTACAATTATGCAATGCTATGCACCAGGATGGATCCATATCAAATCACATTATTTGGTGATAGATAAGCTTAAAATTTATGGTATTTGGCTCAATTAATAAGCAATGCAGTTATTGATTAAAAATACACAGATGTAGTGTGAGCTTTAAAACAAAACTCATATTTTGCCAACACTGTAGATATATTGTTAACAAAAATAAATGATGAAAGAAAAGAATTTAGAACTGCATTCATACAAAAAATGCATTCATATAAAAAAAAGTCTAGAAATACTAACAAACACAATAGCAAGTTTAATTTAATTTAACTTTCTTAATTCAAAATGGTCAAAGGAAAAGAAAATAGTTATGCTGTAAAAAAGTTAAAATCAGTTGAATCAAAAATTTCTTATTGTCAAATTAATTTAATGTTTCCAAGAGTTTTCTATGTTTTTGTTTAAATATTTTTTAATTATATTTTGAAAAAAGAGTTTTAAATTTTTTTTAAATACAGAAAAAAAGAATAAGGAGATACAGAAGTCTTAATCTCCTATTCATTTTCTTTTAATCAACATAATTAAATATAAATTTGTAATAAAACATTACAACTATATATTTTATTATGTTAATTAAGTACATTTAACCTGGTGATTTGGGTAGGTATGTGTTACAGTTGTATTTATATACGGTATGTCACTGTAACTTCAAAATTTACAAAAAAAAAGGTGTTGTAATAATTTTCTTTTTATGATCACTACAGGATGACCTATATAAAAGTTTCAAAAATTCAAATATTTTTATTAAATGAAAAATTTGAAATGTTTAGGAAAAATACAAAATTATAGTGAGAAAAGTAAGCAGTTTAATGTATTGAGTTTTAAAAATGTTTACCTTCAGATTCAGCTAAGTAACGCAGTCTATCAAGAAAACTAGCAAATACTTTTGAGAGCATTTCATTTGAAATCAAAGAGATTTCTCTATAATCAAACTTTTCAGGTCATCCAGCAAAATCAGTTCATTTTTTGTTCTGTGAGTTCTTATAGATTTTATCTTTAAGATATCCCTATAAAAATAAATCACATGGATTTATATCCAGTGAATAAAGAGATATTTGATGTCTCCACCAATGTAGCAGATTGAATCTAATCCAATTAATCAATGCTTAAAATGATGCTGTAGCAATTTAAACTTTTTAAAAAGCACAAATTGATAAACTGCAATGTTTATTTGTTAAAATACAATAGAAAATATGCAGAAGAGGGAAGTAGTTTGGGTATAGGATTCTAAATTGTAACTTATATTTCGGCCACCCTGTAATTTCTAATGGATTAATATAGAAAGTATAAAGAAAAACCACAAAAACTTGATTATTTAAAATAACTTTATTATTTTAATATAGATTTGCAATTAATTATACTAAATATGTATTTTTTCAAGCATTAGTTTATTCATAAGATTTTATAAGCTTTTTAGATGTTTTGAGCAGCCATTTTGATGATGAAGTTTGGAGTGTGTGGTCTCGCTGGAAACCTTGCACTGAATCTTGTGGAGGAGGAACCAGGGAAAGAACAAGGGTTTGTCGAATCAAACAGAATAGTACTGAGAGGTGTCTTGGTAATGAAATTGAAACGGAAGTATGCAATATCAAAGAATGCCCAGGTTTTTGATTTAGTTTTGTTTTAATGTAATAATTAAATGTAATATTAAATATAAATCAATTTCAATGTTTTTATTAAGTAGTAAAAGGCATTTAGAAAATTTTAAAAGGCTAAAAATTTTAATTATATTTAATAATATAATAATAGTATTAATAATTAATAATGTTATAATAATATTATAATAATAATATTTAATAATATAATAGCAATACTGTTTAATTATAGAAAAAAGTCAATATTGATAAATTACCAACATTTTAACAACAGTAAGTGATAAAAAAAAGTCAAAAGATAAATTTGAACTATATGTTGCTAAAGTTATTCATTATGATCTTTTTTGCTGTTCTTATCTTATTTCCATGTCTATAATTTAATAAAGATTGTGGTTTATACCTAGTTCAAACCAAATGCGTACATATATATATATATATATATTATATATATATATATATATATATATATATATATATATATATATATATGCATATATATATATATACATATATATGCCGATATATATATATATATATATATGCATATATATATATATGCATATATATATATATATATATGCATATATATATATATATATATATATATATATATATATAAATATATATATATATATAAATATATATATATATATATATACATATATATATATATGTATATATATAAATATATATATATATATATATACATATATATATATATATATATATATAATATATATATATATATATATATATATATATATACATAAACTTATGTTAAAACTAACACTTGCCCCAAGTCCCCTTTAAAAAAAATAAACTATAACTTTTTGTAAGTAAATAAACAAGTAAAGTCAGTTTTGACTTTTATTTTATTTTTTATTCAGAAAAAATATCATAGACCATGATAACAAGTTTAATATGGGGATTAAAACATCATAAATACTCATTTTTCACATTTATTGGTATTTTAAATAAAAGAAGAGCCTAACTATTGAAATGAAAACATAAACAACCAAGTGCAATTTTAATATCAATTCTATATAATATTGTTAGTAACAATATTTGTAGTATACTTTTCACATCCGTTCAGAATGAATTGAAGAAGTGAAAGTTTTAATGTTAGCTTTTGTGAGTATAAGTCTATCAAGTTTACCTTCAAAATGCCAAATTTTGTTTTTGAGGAACTGTCTACAACAACTACCTTTGGACCAAGTACCAACTAAATGAAAGGTATTGCAATAGCTTTTCTTTTTAAAAGAAGTACCTATAAAACATGATACTCAATTAGCAATACAATTATATGTAGTAAGATGAATGACTAGCTATGTGCTATATGGAAGAAAACAGGAATAAAAACACAGAGGAAAGACGAAGTGAAACAGAAGCTTACAAATTTGTATGAATTATACAGAACCTTAACCAAGCATAAAAGTAGAAATGATAAAAAATCACAGCTGCTTCTAAAACAATTAGAAGAGTTTTTTTATTTTGCACATCAAGGAGCAGCTGATATTGTTGAGTGTGAAAAATTAAGTTTTAAAAACTAAACAAAAAAAAAAAAGAAGATTTAAAGTTTTTAGATACTTTGAAGAATGGAAAAAATGTTGTTTTCGGCTCTTTTGACAAAGATTATACAAGAAAATTGCAAAGTTTTTAAAAATGGAAACAGTAAAGTGAAAAGTATGCAAAAAAATGTTGTAGAGCAATCAACACAAGTGATTTTAGAAGATTTCGGAGAAGATGCAGATCTCAATTATTCAGATGAAGATTTTCTTTCTAATAAGAATCTGGTTACAAACAAGAGAAATTGTTAGGCATTCTAGAAATATTGGATAGCACTCGGTCTAATCAAGCCAAAGAAACATTTTCAGTTGTACAACAATGGGATTTAGCAAACAATTGGTGTTTTTTGTTGAATTGTTGAATTGTTTTTTTATAGAACTACTTCAAACTCAAGGTGCCAAAATGGTGCATGGGTAAAAATTGAAATTGTATTAGAAATAAACTTGTTTTATTTTACATGCAGACATCACATATTAAAAATACTGCAGAGTGCAACCTGGCAACCACTATTTGGACTCACAGCCCAAATAATGAATACTTTAAGGAGTTCCAGCAAAAATGGGACTCTATCTTGGACAAGGATGAATTTAAATGCTTAGGTTTTAAAGTCAGAAATATAAAGCTACAACAAGATTTTTCTATTCAAAGAACAGCTTAAAAATAAGGGTTTCTTACTTAGAGATGATTACAAGGAATGCACAGAATTTATGTTAATTTTATTTAGGGAACTTCCAGATAGAGATGAACATTGGAGCCTGGGGCCCTTCATCATGCAAGATGGATGTTGTCTGTGATATACACCGCTAAAATGCACCTCTTTAGAGATTCCAAACTATTGTGAAGCTGAAAGATATGTCTTTTTAATGTTCTTTTGTATGTCAAGCATTGGTTAGAATGCCCTGTGAAGTAAAGATATCAGAAAAGACCTCAAGAATATTTAAAAATTATTTTTGTTATTTAACCAAGGAAATTGTAGTATTTAAATTGCTTTAAAAAAAGTTGTCTAACTATAAAAAAAACAAATATTGTTAAGAAACTCTAATTCTACCAATGTGGTGAGATGAAAAAAAGTGTAGTGAAAAAAAATAATGTAAAAATTTCATGCTTGATTGAAAAAAACACTTGGCTTCACTCTTGGTATCTGTTTGAAACTTTTGGTGTGAATGCTGAATCGCTAAAAACACCAGTGCTAACAATTGAGGAGGACAAAGACTTTTTTAAAGCAATGAACTTTTTTTTTTTTTGTTAGAGAGATATAAAATTGATGCAAGGCTTTTCATTGTCCCTCCCAAAATATGAAAAAATTGTGTTACAAGTAGTTGAAAACCACAGAAAGTTAAAAAGAAAGTGTTTTACTGATTTGAGAAAACTTTGAATAATCTTTAAACATTTACTGATGTAATTACTATAGTTACTATTTTTTATTTAAATCAATTTTAATAGCTTTGTGTATTCCTTTATATTCAAATGTATAAGTTAAAAAAATGTGTTGTTTTTTTTACCAGAATAATCGGTAGTTACTCAAGATATTTTGAGAAAAAAAGGAAAGTGAAAAATTAATAATAGTTATGATATTTTAAATACACATATTAAACTTGTAATCATGGCCTATGATTTTTTTTCTGAACATATATGTAAAATAAAAGTTAAAACTAAGTTTATTTGTTTGTTTACTTAAAAAAAGTTGTATAGATAAAAAATAATTTGAAATTTAAAAAAAAAAAAAGAAAATTTTTTTTTAAGGGGGGAGGGGGGGACTTGGGACAAGAGTTAAGGTTTACATTTTGGGTACATATATAAGAGTTAGGGTTTACATTTTGGGTAAATGTTAACAATTAAGAGTTTATAGACTATCCATCACCAGAAAACAGCTGAGGAGATTTTTTCTATAAGCATTTTTAAACTGGTTTTTTTGGGAGACCTGGTAATATGTATATATAATATACATATATATACAATATAATATCTATATATGTGTGTATATACCAGGGATGTGAGGTTCCATAGATTTTTTGGGACTCCGGGACTCCCAGCTTAAAAATCAGGGACTCCATGGACTCCGGAATAATTTTTTTTTCTTCATTTAAAATAAGGGTTTTTATTATCTGGAACTTTTACGTAAAAATTCCGGGAAAACGAGAGGGTACCAATAATATTTTCTCTTATGAATTATATATATGTTTATTTTATGTACCCTAAGAAGTCCTTACAGTCTTATAACAGAGCATCTTGGAAAAGCAATTAACAGGAAATTCACTCCTACTTCCTAACCGATGTCGCAAAACCAAAGGTGGGTTTGAACCACGGATCCCTTACTTTTTTAGGAAAGTGCGCTACCACACGCCACGGCTGCTTAAACCCAAAAGTTAATTTGTCCCGCTTTTGCTGGATCATAAGAATTTATAAGAACAATGATTTTTATTGTCTCATGCTCAGATTTATCAGATGTTGCACTCAATTTCTCAGATTATTTGAAACCACATGATCATAAAATTATAAAAAGATTTATATTTATTACACGCTAAATTAAAAAGTTACAAGGACAAAGTATTACAGTATTTACATCATGAAAAAATGTTCAAATAAAAAACTTGTTTGTTTGTAAAAAAAGCATATCATCAATTAACTCATATGTAAACCGACTACGATGGTCTAGTGTCATGAGCTTTAACACTGAAAACAGACACTGACTTGTGATATGGGTAGTAACAAAGCGACACGGCAGGCATCCTGTACAACTTCAGGGAACTGCTCAATTGATTTTAATGGGTTAAACTTTAAAAACTCAACTAAGTCGGATGATTTGTCTTTAAACATTGAATGGATTTCCGGAATTGTTTTTGGAGCTAGTCAAAACTCCTTTTTTATTGGACATCTAATTGAACATGTATTTGTTCTTTTGAAGAATTTTCTTGAACCTCTTGTTCACACAACTTAAATAAATTTGATCGACACTTTGCAACAGGTGAAGCATTCTCCTCATTTTCTGAATTAGAGTCTGACACATAAACTGCAAAAGAGTTGTGCTCTACTGCTTTTTTGGTTTTATTGAGTTCATTATTCTTATTTTCATTAGGGAGTTGAATCAGTGCAGTTATCTGCAGCTGACGGACTTTGGAAAATACAATAACAAACTGATTCAACTTGCTAATGAAAATAATGAACTCAATAAAACCAAAAAAGCAGTAAAGCGCAACTCTAACTGCAGCTGATGGACTTTAGAAAGTTATAGAATTATTTAAATTTTTTGAAATATGTATTTTTTAAAGTTAAATAAATATATATAAATAAAATTTTATTAAAAAAACAACCTTGTCTTCAGTCGCATTTAGCATACAGCCATACCTAATATCAACATAAACTGCTGCAAGAAACAACGATTTATTGGGTGATGGTGAAGTCACTGTCCTTCCCATCAAGTTCACACTTTATTGAACTCCAATCAAAAAGGAATTTGCCTGCGGTCATATTTTCATGTTGAAGATGAATAGTAAGATTGCGAGCCATATGCAATACATCTCTCAATTCCTCCCAAATACCCTAAAAACATGGTCGCACATTAAATACTTTAGGAGCTTCTTTTTGCATATTTAGATTTTGAATTTCTGGTCGAATCTAGAAGAACAAAAAAATTCATTAAATATATGTACAAAGTTATTAACTACTTAAATAAAAAGGATTATTAAAGAAATATTTACATAAACTAACATTATTCAAATTATTAGTTAGTATAAATGTCATAACCATTAAAATAATTCAATTTATATTATACCGGTTAGAAAACTGGTTTATAAACTTTGATTAAAACTTAAAAGCTATAAGTTATAACTTACCTTAATTAGCCTCTCAATCATTTTGAATTGGCTAGACCAATGGGTCGCCTGATCTAAGATTTGAATGAGATGTGGAATCTGGTCCCTGAAGAAGTCAATTCACTTCAAATTTCTTGCAGTTTTGACAACATCTCTGGCATGGTTAATTAGATTTTTTATTGTTTGTCTTTTCAATGCATCATTTACGGCTAGCTGTTAAGTGTGGACAACACATCTTTGAAGATGTATAGCACTCATGCTACTGGCAACTCCACTTGCCAAGACTGCTGCCACATTGTTGTCTTTAGAATAACCATCTTCATCAAATTCATCAGTTTCTTCTGAAAAATGGTCTTTGTCATCTACAACTTCCTCAATGGTGCTGATGCCAAAGTCGCGCACTAACTTTATATTCACCAAAAGATATTAAATTTGATTTCAATAGTTCATTTAAAGTTTAGCGAATATACCTTACAGTTTACATAAGATTTAATTAAAACAGTTAGATTTTTAAATGATTTTATGGAAAATAATAACTTTAATCACATAATTTTAAATTTTTTTCATTAACAAAAAATATAGTGAATTTTAAATTTTTTTTGTGTATTCCGCCATTTGTTTTTCCTTTGTGTCAATGGTGCCAAGATTGATCACAGCAATTTCATCATTCGAGTATTGTTGTTATTTCATCATTGTTCGAGTATTGTTGTTATTTCATCATCATTCGATTATTGTTGTTATTTCATCATTGTTCGAGTATTGTTGTTATTTCATCATTGTTCGAGTATTGTTGTTATTTCATCATTGTTCGAGTATTGTTGTTATTTCATCATTGTTCGAGTATTGTTGTTATTTCATCATTGTTTGAGTATTGTTGTTATTTCATCATTGTTCGAGTATTGTTGTTATTAAAGATTCGAGTATTTCATCATTGTTCGAGTATTGGGCATTCATACCAAGGTAGTGACGCAAGCTAATGTGAGCTTTTGCGGCACATGCATTTTTCTTACCGCATAACTCGTTACTTTTACTTTTTTTGGGTACATTTGAAGCATACTACTTTGCATCAATTCAAAATTTTATTTGTACGATGAAAGTGTCTGTTGATTGTATCTGATGCATAGTGGCCATTACTGGTCAAGATTGTTACACGTGAGTTAATAGTAAATATTACTTTAAAGAAAGAATGTCGTTATTGCAAGTTACTGTGAACATGTAAAGTATTTTCTTTGTGTTATATATGCTTTGCAAAATTAATTTTTTGTAAAACAACCCGCGAAAACATAGTTATGAAAGCTGTTACAATGACTAGTTATGAATCAATGACGTTAGTAGTTTTTCTGTAAAAGTAATTGCTACGCAAAATAATTTTCATTTATTTGTTGAGGTATTTTTATAAGCTTTTTTTGGCTTTTTTCTGACCTAGATGGTACGTTTTTTTCCCAACTGTCTATATCGTTAGCTTAATTTTATTGAACAAACTCACAGACAAATTTGTTTTTTTTATTGCATATAATTAATTTTTTAGTGAAATTTGATAGCTTTTCGTATCTAAACCACATTGCTTTCATTGCAATTTTTCATTAGGTGTTATTAAAATAAAATTTTTTTAGCAGAGTAGATTGAAAACCAAGTACATAATTATACTATCTCATGCCATTTTGGGTTGAAGTTAAAAGAAATAAAAAGATTTTTTTTTTCTTATAGTATTTACAAGCTTTATTTATTTATAAGTATAGTTTCCTACTATAGTTTACAGTTTTAAACAGTGCTTAAACAAAGCAAAAAATATATCTACAATTTTTTTTAAAGAACTTGACTTTGGTAAAATATTTGTCTTCTACTCATAGCCTTGTTAATCATTTCAAATCAACTTTCTTTCTATGATCAATCTAAAAAATTAAAGATAACAAAAAAAAATATGCATAAAAGCAACTTAAATACCATTTATTTTTAAATTTGATAAATGTTAAAAAAAATAACAACTAAGCTCTCAAACATATCTTTATCTGCAGGTCTAGCCAGTGACAATTTGGTGAATAAAATGAGGAGGATGAATCCTCCAAAGTGATGAATGTCTTATAAAAAATATTTAGGTGTAAGGCGAATGTTAACTTCCTCTCTTTTTAGGAAAATCGCCCCTGGGTCTCGAAATTTGATGATGTGGAAATACTTAAATAAACAATTAATCATAAGTACTTTCTTAATGGGATAAAAAAATTGTTTTAAAACTATAAATAAATAAACAAAAATTGTTACATATATTATGAAGATAATTTGCAAACAAAAGTTTATTAACTTAATGTAAAACTTAACATTAAATATGATGAAATTTTTAAACTTATTTTTTTAAAATTAATTTTAACAAAAAAAAAAAGTTATTAAACAAACAGTTTCTTTAGCAAATAATCACAATCACAATTGCGGTTAAATGCTTTTACTTGCAACGTATTTTCTGAATAAACGTCACATTAACAATATCAAAATAAAAATTAAATATTCTAAAAGATAAAAGTTTTCTCTTAACATTAAACTGCTTAACGCGCAGGCATGCGGCCTTTTACGCACGTAAAATGCGAGCTTGGTAACGCCTCTTAACAAGGCGTAACATTCGAACCGATACTCAATCTGAGTATTGGTTCAAATTGGTAAAGAATGAGATGAGCTTTCCGGTCAAATGCTCTTTCACAGTGTTTTGTGACAAGACTATCAGGTATTTCCTAAGCATATTAATAACTATAAATTAAAAAAAAAAGAGTCCCAGAGTCTTAAAATTTTTATGGACTCCCTAGACTCCGGACTCCGGGCTAAAATAGGGACTCCGGCTCCGGACTTCGCATCTCTGGTATATACACACAAGTATCTTATTTTCTAATCTAATATTAAACTACTAATTTAACATTTGTACTTAAGATATAAAATAATTAAAAATTTTATGTTTAATTTAATTTGTTAAGATTGGCCGCATTATCCTAGAGATTTTAGCTTTGCTAATGAACGACAATTTGATGAAACTCTGGATTGTGTTTTGATTTACGAAAGTGAAGATTTTAATGAATGGTCCTCCTATTCCTTTTGCCAAAAAAGTAAGTTTTTTCCATAGTTTATGTAAAAATATCTTGAAAATTAGTTTTTTGAAAATTTTTACATAAGCTTTAGAAAAAAAAACTTTTAAGTTTTTTTTTCTAAAGCTTATGTAAAAATTTTATTGATTTTTTAAAAAATGTATTAAAATTTATTTTTGTTGCACAGGTAAACGAAAAATTGGAATGAAGTGGTCAGATAAAGGTCCTATTAACAAAATGAAATGTACTTTAATAACTGAACCATTGGAAGAGCGCAAAAAAAGTTGGTTTGATAATTATTTGTGTTTGCCAATTTCATCTCCTTTTAACTTTACGTAAGAATTCTTCTTTTTTTTTTTTTTGTGCAGAAGAGTTATTCTTTTTTCATCAATCTGTATACTTTTTTATGAATATTGTATATTATTTATTTAAATAATTATTAATACTTTTACCTAATGTATAAACAATAGGAAATGTTAGTTTTTTGTTATTTTAGGTGGTCATATGAAGGTCCTATTGAAAATTTATCTTGCATAATGTGGTACGCCAAAAACGGTAAAGATGGCTGGGATAACAACTTTCTTTGTGCAAAAGAGTCTATTAGAAATTATTCTATCAACTATTCACAATCTCCTACAATCAACCAATATGAAAGTTGGAGCGAGTGGTCCAAATGCACAAAAGAGTGTGGTACTGGAAAACAAAGCAGGCTCCGTTTGTGTTATTCAAAACAGCGGTGTCATGGAAAACATTTTGAAGAAACAGAATGCAATGTACATAAATGTCGTAAGCATTTTCTAGTCTCTACTCTAATTTCTAATTTTACTTATCAAAGAGATCATTAATTTTTTTTTTATAAGTTTTTATAAAAGATAAAAATTGTTATAAGAGGAGTGTTTTAAAAAAAAATTAATTTTTTGAGAGCGTTGCTAAATTTTTTATTTAGTATTTTATTGTATTTAGATTATTAGTAAAAAAATTAAGCTTATCTTAAAATTTGTATAATACTTGTCTGACTTATCTTAAAATTTGTTTTGTTTGACCTACAATGAGTTTGTGCAAAAGAAAAATTTTGTTAATCTTTTTTAGTTGCTTAAAGCGTTTAGACTTTTTTTTTTAATAAAATGTAAAAAAAATTTAAATAAAAAAAACAATACTAATATATATTATAATATTGTATTACTAAAAACAAAACAGTTTTTACACAAATTTCACACCTTTTTTTTTAATCTATCGATTTTTGATAACAGTATACATTGTTTGTTTCTTACTGTTTAAGTAGTTTAATATTATCTTTTTATGAACTT